TTTTAAAATTTGATCATCTACTCACTTGTTCTGTTTCGCCCCTCTGTGAAAAGCATCAACATAAAAATTTCTGTGCTCTTTTTGTGTGAGTCTGGAAGGAATTTTAATGGATTTGTGGAAGCATCTTTGCATGGCCTTAAGTTTTACAATGACTTAATAAGTAGAACAGGAAAACAAAGCCTTATCTATGAATGGTGCACACTTCATATTATATTTGAAATAACAAAATGTGTGCTTTCAATTTGTATTTATTTCAGCATCAACATTCTGCTCTTAATTCACTTACTATGTGAATTAAGAGCAGAATATTGCATCTCTTACAGAATTTGAATGCAGTTAAACAGAACAGCACATGTGGCAGATTAACCAAGTGAAATAGTACTGTATTTAGCAAAAAGATTGTTCACAAGAAGACACACAGCAATTCCAAATAAATGACATTTTCAAACTCTGTTTGAATTTTCAAAAGTAGAAGAAATGTTTTGCAATATAGGCAATCTTTTAGATGCTTTCTTTGAATGTTGAAAACAACAATAGCTTAAGGATGAAAAAGATTTCCAGCTCAGAGTCTGACTTGGCACCATCTATAAAAGACAGTGTAGGATTTTCCCCCTAAAACCATCTTGCCTGCCATTTACATTGAGTTTTGATGCTCTTTAATCATTCTACCCAAAATTTTAATTTTGAATCAGCTCACTGAGTAGAACTCTTTTAGAAAATTTCCACTGAATATTAGATGTGTCTGAAAGGAGATTAAAGAAAACCCTCACAAGGTTAATCGCAATTTTCTCTTTTTCTTTCACAACACTTCCCTGAGACATGCTGCTGCCTGTGTGCTTTGAAATCCAGTGCTGGACTGGGGAGAAGAGATGAAGGTGGGGAGAGGGTGAGCAGGAGGGTCCACGTGCAAGCCTGGGACCCCTCCAGGCTGATGTTGCCTACACTTGGTTTGCTGCAAAGCTCTGCTCTCACATATTCAAGCAGAAACTTGATAGAGTTTGGTAGCTAAATACTTTGAATATTTTAGCACACTTGGCATCTTTCATGTCTGCAGGAGGCAAGCAGAACTTCCTCAGGAACTGTCAAAAATTTGTTTTGGATGATATGGACCATGTGCTTCAGATGAAAGTAGAAGAAATCTTGCAATGAACGAGCAGTTCAAGCATAAGCTGAACCAAAGCAGAACTTCCTTTTAATGTCCAAAAGCTACCAGCATGCCAAGCATGTAATTGACTGTAGTCCAAAAGCAGCTGACTGCCTCTTCCTTCCAAAATTGTCATGTGCTGCATTTATTTCATCAGAATTGTGTTCTATTTGTTTTCATCCTACTATCAGATGCATGCGTGAGTACCTGAAGCCATCCTGATGAGCTGCACCAAATGACATTTATTATGGCATCTTTTTCCCTCACTGAAATGGAGCTTTTGGAAGAAAATCACCTCTACCACGCTCTGCTGACCAGGCTGGAGCATGCCAAGCACAGGCGTGCGCAGAACGCTGGGCCAGACAGGGACAGGCAGTGCCCAGCCTCTGCAGCCAACAGCAAACACCACTGGTGTCCTCATCAGCTCTACTTCCCCAAGCCTGGGGAAAGAGCTGGTCCAGTTTTAGCAGCATCCAACTATAATAGGTGGCACATCCAGCTTTTGGGTGGGTTTTGGAGCAGACAGTCCTGTGCTAAAACTGACTTTGCTTCTTTTGAATCAAGGACGTAACTCTACTCCACTTTGACAGAGGCAGAAACATCCTCAGAATCTCAAAGTATCCAAAAAATGATTTTTTCTAAGTCATTTATGAAAGTATTAATTTTCTGTTTATGTTTCCTACAGAACAGGGGTAATTCAGTGTCTTTTTAGTTTATGAGGCACACTGGAAGGTGCCACAGAATGTTTAGTAGACAAGTTGTGCTGTCATAACAGATCTTTTGCTTGGTTTTTGAATCTGCTTTGTTCTGGAACAGCATGCAAAAAGAAACTGTATTGAATATATTCAAATACTTAGAGAGTTTATTAAAAACATAATAATTCTGAAATGAGAGATGCAATTTTATTGTGATCTGCACAATGCAAAAAAGGAAAAACACAACAGGGTTGTACTTTTTTTTTAATAGCAGGAAATTAGACTGTACTTTAACATTAATCCACAATTTAGAGAAAAGATTGCATATTATTCTGGAGGGTATATTTTAAATATGACAATACAATTTAGCTTCATCAGGAGTACCAACAGTTCTGGAAAGAAATACCACTTCATTGCATTCTATATTTAATCATTTATTTTGATTCACAAAAAGAACTTCTCTCAGGATGCTCTTGATAATTTAAAAAATTACAGCAATTATACCAGCTCAATAAATACTTCAGCTTCATCTTCTTTAGTCAACATATTACTGATAAAAGGAAAAAATAAACATGGAAGTGTTCCTCCAGTCTTTCTATATTTGGAATTAGGACTGTAGCAAACAACACGACCACTCTGACAGATTCAGGGTCAAAAGCTCAGAAGGATGGCTGAGAAACCACTTTGCATCCATGCTTTACCACAGGTTTCTTGTATATCCTTGGGAAAAGGCTGAGATGCTACTCACACAGTCACTGGCCATGCAAATAGAGATTTAATATACTGGCCAAGCCACTCCACCTGCCTTTGTGCTGACCTATTGCAGGGCTGACACTGCCTCCCCAGACCCAAAGGCACTATGATGGAGCATGGCACAAAGACACTCTGGTACCTTTGTAGGATCCACACCAATTCTAGCAAAACAAACACTGACCCAGTGCTCTAAAGACCAGTCAGATACAGAATCATCCATTATGGGTTGTCTAAATCACACGTACCACTGTACAGCCTTCTATCCACACTTGAAAGGAAGTAGTGCTTAATTGCCTCCACCTGCCCAAAAAGGAGTAGGATGAGCACTCTCCTGAGGTGCCTTTCTTTGATGCAAGCTAAGAAGTGCTCGTGGGCTGTGTAGCACCAAGAGCAGCAGGACAGATGCCCCAGTGCCCTGCACAGAAGCACTGCTGCCTGGAAGCAGAGGCAGGCACCAAGAGGCAAGCAAAGGACTTGTGCTTGTGTGTGAACTAAAACTGCATCTGGATTCAAAGTGTGGCACAGACATTTTGAGTACTGATGACTGAGAAGTCATTATATGGAAAGAATACCTCTAATATTGTATCATGTCTTAATGAGTTCTGATGGTGAGTCTGCTTGTGCGTGTACACAAAGAATATGGCACTCCATTGCCTCTGCTGCCTCACCACACTGCCTGATAGTGCAGAGACCTCCGAGGACTTAGGCATTTAAAAATTGATATTAGACACAGACTGACAACTTAGACTGTTATCAGCAGCTTGATGAACTTACAGCTCTATCTCCTGCTGCAGGGGGAACTGACTGGTAAATCCTCACTTCTGTTGCAGCAAGGATGAGGCTCAAGAGCTGCAGCTGAAGCATTCTGGAGGTGCAGAGATGCTGCAGGAATCCTCCTGGGCAGGAACCACCTGCCCCACAGGATGGGCAAAAATGGCTTTTGGTCTCTGTGGACTGAAAGATGAGATGTAAGAAATGTTGAAGGTCACAGATCTGCCTGAGTTGGTATTTGATCCTGCTGAGTATCTGAGAGGCAAAGTGAGTGCCTGGCAGAGGGCTTAAGCAGGCCATGGAAGAAGAGGGCTCCTAAAAACCACACAAGGTGGATGTAGCAAAAAAAGCTCTCAATGAGCAATAAGAGTATGGTGGTAAAGATATAATAAAATATTTAAATAAATTCTCTAAATGAATGCACCCTGAGATGATTCAGAGGAATTGCATCACTGCAAATAAGTGATACAGCAAATTGGTTTTTTAACCTCAATCCTTTTAAACTGTGAACATGCTGAAAGACATATGGTAGACAAAATGCTTTAGAACCAGAAATCTTCCCTCAAAGAAATGTCTGCAGAAAATACAGTTTAAAAATATGAAACTGTACCAATCAATATGAGGATCAGGCCACCTCTGACAGGGCCCAACTGCTCACTCTGACAGCACCACCAGCAGGAAAAGGACAGGAGACTAATTGAGAACAGTTGAATCTATAAGCATTTGCTTTTATTTCAGTAACTTTGTGTTACTGGGAACTTCAGTTTTCCATCAGTGAAGTGCTTAGGACAATAAATAAACATAAAGAAATAGTAGTCAGTAAAACAGCCTGTACTTTGCTCTTTACTCTGCTGCTCTCATATAACAACTTGGGCTTTCTGTGAGGCAGTATATTTCTGTAATTTCCTAGTATTTTAGTAAAGCTTAATGCTCCCTGGCCCTATAGAAATGTTTCCTTTTTGTTTTGAATCATGAGTAATATCACTGGCTGGAAGGAGCTTAACACTCACCCGCAATGAGGCAGGACTTCTGCCACTGCTGCCACTGCCTGACTCTGCTTTTTCCATTATATCTATGACTGCTGACATTTGAGGGTTTTTCCACATGGGTGAGTTGGAAGTGATGTTAAGCTGCTGAAAAAGCTTTATGGAGAGCTAGGGAGTTGGAGTTTGAGCTGTCAGTGGGAGGTAGGAGAACGCAGGAGTGCTCTCGGTAGTGACAATGTGGTGGCACAAAGTCCAACAGGGGCAGTAAAGGCTTCTTGCTATGACTCCTCTCGTCTTATGGTAAAAATGCAAGTAAATCAAATTTAAGCATAAGAAGCTTGGGGCTTAGCGGCCTAATTAATTTGTGCCACATTCTAATCTGATATAAAGTATACATTTCATTCTTCTGGTGGTGAACCTGGAGCGGAAAATGAACTGATTTCTTTATCTATCTATATATCGAGATCTCTGCCACCCGCACCCGTCTTTGTGAAACAACATCCTCCATGCATTCTTACAAGTACTATCCGCAACCCCATTGCTGGGTACCGCTCCAGACGCCACCGGCGAGACGCAGGCTCCCGTTCGCGGGCAGCGCCGCCCCACACGGGGCGCTGGGCGCCGCTCCGGCCGCGGCGGGGGAGGCGCGGCCCGGCCGGGCCCGGCCCCTCGGGCCGCCCCAGGGCCGCCATGGCGGGCGGAGCGCGGCGCCTGTTCCGCCGCATCCTGCAGCTGCACCGCGCTCTGCCGCCCGCCCTGCGCGACCTGGGCGACCGCTACGTGAAGGAGGAGTTCCGGAGGCACAGGGCGGCCGGGCCCGCCGAGGCCCAGCGCTTCCTGCGGGAATGGGAGGCAAGTGGCCGCCGCCCCGCGGGGCAGGGACGCGGCGGGGCCCGGCGGGGCGCAGGGCAGGCCCCGGCAAGGTCAGGGGCGCCGGGCGGTCGCAGCTGCTCAGGTGTCGGCGTTCTCAGGGGTCTTTTCCAGCCTAGCTGATTCTCTCTGCTCGGGCATGCTCCCGTGAAGGGCGAGCTCCTTGCAGAGCTGCAGAATGCCTTGTGGCTCCATGTCTCTAGGCAGGTTATCTTTTTTGGTTCTCAGTGCCTTGCCTCGAATGTGTGTGAGCGCACACAGGTATATGTAACAGAGTGGCCTCAGTTATATAATTAGCTATGCATAAATATATAAATAAAAGTATACGCACAATTATCTGTATGATCTATAATAATGCATTGTATAAGCATATATCAATATTTATAACGACATACATAACCAATTGTATAATTATAATTAGCTGAGTATGGGTGTAAATAGCTTCCCTGTGAACTTGCATTTGATTTTGGAGTAGCATTTTTTCATTGTTTCTTAAGGAAATAAGTCTTATGTGAACATTGCTTCTCTGCTTAACACCCCTTCCCCTGAACTTCCTGCCTGGTTTCTCCAAGGAGAGAAAAGCAGATCACTCCCAAGTGACGAGGTTGTAACAAGTTTCACAAGCAGCAGACTAAGGAGACCTGTAAGGTGCTTTCCCCACATGCCTGGACCCCAGCAGGTATCAGCATATTAACAGGTCAGCAGGAGTCCACATGGCAAATGTATAGGCACTTCACAGAGGAGAAGCTTCTGTTAAAGCATGAACACAACTGCAAGAGACAGATGTATTGACAAGCTTCCCATTAATTTTCATGCTCCTTGAACTACTGGATTGGTAGTACTTTTGAATCTCAAAACTGTTTTCCTTTCTATGGAAGGAAACTGTTCTGCTTTGCAGTGGAAGGTGGTTAGCAAAGGTAGCATCCATTGCCTCCCAGTTTACAGAAGGAGGGTAGTGGGGAGAACTGCCCCATCCCTTCTACCTGCAGTAGCTGAAATCTTAGGGTTTAAAGTAACTGGGGCATCAGGAATAAGCAGGGAGAAGACTGCCTTGTGTTCTCTACAGAGGAAAGGAATAAATGTATTTTAATTGCCTCTTGCCAACTGATAGATCCTCAAATCAGAGAAATTTGTATCAACTTCTCAAATGCCTGATGCTATTGTAATTTTCAATTGCCGTTTACTTAATAATGCTGAAATGTTTCCGCATCGCTGCTTTCAGTTTTAACATGAGCTAAAGAGACAAGTTACAGGTTACTATTTCCAGTGCTAAAATCTTCCTTAAAATAGTTTTAGAAAAGGAAGGAAATGTTTGCATTGAAATATCTTTAGCCATTTTTAAAACGAAGTGTACAAATAGTGAAAATGTTTCTCAGTTCTGAAATGTTTTAAAGGTAGATTATAGGGAAAATGGTGACAAAAATTAGACTACAAGTAACGAGTTGAATTTTGAAACCTGACATTTAGTGCTATTAGCTATGATATGTTCAAGGAAAGGAAACTAATTTAATAACTGTTTTGAGTGTGTGAATATAAAGAACTTTGCAAATATGTCTGTCTTCTAACAAGATGCTGGGAGGTATTAGCATGTAGTTAACATGTCTCTTCTCATCTTTAATTTTTGTTTTGTTCTGAGATCTTTTTCTCACCCAAATAATATTTATTTTGAGTGTGAAATTTAAGTCAGACTTTCACATTTTTGGCCTGTGAGACTTGCTTTGCATCTTGTGTTATGCTGTGGTTCCCAGCCCCATGAAGACTTGAATGAGGTGATTGAGGAAAGTGGACTGTGGACAAACTGGGATTAGGTAGCTCTGGGCTCTAATTACATGCTAATTAATTCATGTTGGAATCAGTCCTTTGACCTGGTTTTGGCTAAGATAGAGTTAATTTTCTTTGTAGTAGCTTGTTCAGTGCTGTATTTTGGATTTAGTGTGAGAATAATGTTGGTAATGCACTGTTGTAGCTGTTCTTAAGTGTGCTTACTCTAAATCAAGTATTTTTCAGATGCCCATGCTGTGCCAGTAAGGAGATGCACAAGAAGCTGGGAGGGAGAATGGCCAGGACAGCTGACCCAAAGTGGCCAGGTGGATGTTGCATGCCATACAGCCTGTAGTATATTCAATATATAAACTGGGGAGGTTGGCCATGAGGGTTGATCACTGCTCCGGCGTGGGCAGGGCACCAGCCAGCAGGTGGTGATGTGCTGTGCTGTGCACCACTTGTTTCTCTTGTATTTCATTCTTTGCACCCTTCCTGGGCAGCAGGACACTCTGAAAATAGGCTGGAAGCTCCAGGACAGGTCTTGCAGGACAGACCAGCATAGCTGTGGAGTGCTAGGTTCTTGCCTAAGAGTCACCCAGTTAGCCACGAGGGAAGCTGAGATAATGCTGCTGTTCATGTAGCTTGTACCATAACTGTACTTCTTGCCTCTAATTTTATTAAATGAAACAAAAAAGAATCAAACCAAACAAATCCACCTAAACAAATCACTACAACATTAATACAAACTGGTTGTTTAAATTGCCTGTTAAATTTCTTTTTTTTTTGGAAAAAATGCTTACGGCTCTGATTACAGTATTATGGCATGTTGCACTTCCAACTTTTTTCTTCCCAATTTGCTTGTTATTAGGCTAAGCATATACCTTGCTGTATGCACTTTGGTGTTGTCAATATTCAGCTTCCATCTGGAAATGTTCTTTCCTCATGCCTTCTGTTGAATGCTGGGCGAGGCATCTGGTACAGGGTAGCATGATGTCTCATGTTACAAAAAATTAGTATTCTTCATTTTACGTTAAAGTAATATATTTTGATGCATATTTATCAGAGGGTAAAGATTATGGATATGATGATTGCAGTGATGTTTCTTGACTTTGAATGAAGATTTCAGTATGAAGTGTAATCTTAATAAGTCATCTGAAATGCTTTTTGAATGAAAATTTTCAAGGATGTCATATTTTAACATGAAACTCCTTGACTATTGCTAAATCTCTTCAGGCTCTCTTTGGGTAGTCAGACCTTCTGAATATACTAGTTCATAGCCTGTGGTGTGCTTTCTTGTCCTCCAATTTGATTCATATTAGCTGAACGTTTAGAAAACAGGCCTGGCGTTTCAATCACCTTGTGGTTGCCTCACATAATGCCCCTGCCCCCCTTGCTGTTTAAATTATGTTGATTCAAGGGAGCTGGGCATAATAATTCAAGTTTGTAGCCAGGTGTGAGTCAGCCTCTTGTCCCAGGCTGTGGTTGCTGTCCCAGCCTCAGGTTGTGCCACGGGGAGGTTCAGGTTGGACATCAGAAGGAAGTTCTTAGCACAAATGGTTGTTAAGAACAGACTGCCCAGGGAGGGGTGGAAGTGTCCCTGGAAGTGTTCAGGAGATGACTGGACGTGGCACTTAGTGCCATGGTTTAGTTCACATGTTGTGCTTGATCAAAGGTTGGACTCCATGGCCTTAGAGGTCTTTTGCAGTCTGAATGATTCTGTGATTGTGTCTTACAAATGGAATAAATTTCCTTTATTTCTTATGAAACACAGTAGAAAACCTATAGGGAGATTTTTAAGATCAGCTTTAAAAATAAAAGGAGGAGAAACAAGAAGTAAAAAGCTCTGAGATTATATTATTGTAGGATGTGAGTGGTTTGTGTTGTTTTCCTGTAAAGGAGATGAGAAGGGACCTCATCTTGTTTAGAATGCCCAGGAATTGAGGGAATTAATGTTAGAGCCAACCATGTAGATGGCTACTGAAGTTTTGTAGGAAACCTAAGCTGACCTATTTGCACTTATAAAATAGGGAAGCTATCCATTGAATATTCTTGGAAGAGTTTTTAAGTGGGTACCACCAATGGTAGACTGCAAGTCCATATGTGCTCATTTCAAAGTAGAAGAATATAAATATTGTGGTTTTCCTGTAATTGGTATTGGATTCCTAGTTTGTGTCTGGAAACCTGCTGGAAAATATTAAAGAGGGATGATACAAAGAAAGTAAGCTTCATTGTTCAGGAATTATGCTTCTTCAGGTAGATTCAAATTAAGCATATAAATTATTAATATCTGTTCCTATCTATTTTCTAAATATTTAATATTTTAATTAAAATAATTGGTACTCATTTACAGGAGACTGCTGATATAATTAGATTGATACTGATTATTATCTTGGAATGGTATTGAATTAATGTTGACAGGTATGATAAGTCATTTAGTTCAGCAGTCTTCTAAATCATGGTGGCTGATGAGAATGCTTACATAAGATAAGCAATATTAAGATAATATTGATTACTTCATTTCAGATTGCAATAGGTTGAATATTCAGCTAAACAATTTCAGTAACAATTTGTTTCGTATTTAAGCATTAATTTTGAAAATGACCATTTTGTACTTGGCTTTTTTAAAAAGCCTGACCCTGTAGATGAGAGGGCCTGGACTGTCTCTGAGACAAGCAGAATCATTCTGCAGAATTACACAACATTTTCTCAATTTAATAGATTGAATAAATTGCCTTTGAAATTCTTTGGCCACTCTTGACCCTGAAAATCTTTTTCCAAGCTTTCAAATGAACTGTCACGTAGCCTCTCAGGAATGACTGAATTTTTGAATCAGTGCATTTGATGCAATACAAATAATTGTCATTCATCAAATTTATTTTCAGTTGCCTGCGTCACTTGCAGTATTTACTTTGCTGGGATCATTGTGGGATGCTGTCATATCTTGGAGAATAAAGTTGTTCTTATATGTCTTTTTCTGCTCACGAGCAGATACACTTACAGAACTTTTTGCTTAATTTTCCGGGCAAGTATAATCTTCCCTCCCCTTCTTGATTTATTTTTAACCTACTAGCACTCAAAAATATGTTGAAATGTTGAATGGAGAATTTGAAGAGCAAATAGTCAAAGAGGGTGGAAGAGGAAATCGTGGCCAGTACTGGAGTCAGACTGAAATGGGAACGGGATGTGTGGGTTGCCCTTTGTGCTGTCTTTCAGCAAAT